TAGGAAGTTCCAACCATTCCCACATCTTCCTGTCTTCTTCTGAACCCTTCAAACTGTTCCATCCTCTGCCCATTACCCAGTTCCAAAGTTGCTTCCACATTTTCAGGTGTCATTATGGCAGTGCCCCACTCCCAATACCAATTTTCTGTATTAGTCCATTCTCACACTGCTATAAAGACATACCTGAGACTGAATCATTTATAAAGAAAAGAAGTTTAATTGACTCACAGGAAGAGAGCAAGTGTGTTGGGGGGAAGTGCCCCACACTTTGAAACAACTAGATCCCATGAGAACTCTGTCATGAGACAGCACTAGGGAGATGGTGCTAAACCATTAGAAACCACCCTCAGGATCCAATCACCTCCCACCAAGCCCCACTTTCAACATGTGGGAATTACAATTTGACATGAGATTTGGGTTGGGACCCAGAGCCAAACCATATCAAATACTGTATCAGAATGTGAATATGCACATGACTTATTAGGTACACTTAGAGAAAGGGTTAGCCTGAGAGTAACAACCTAGTATCAGAATGGTTTAAGAAATATGCATAACACCTTGAAATTAATATAAATAATATACTAACAATATTATTAGGACACTAGTATCCTAATGGTGATAATCTCCAGATTAAAACTGTAAAAATCACTGTTAAAAACAGATTTTTAGTTTTCATTTTATAGTTTCCAATTCAGAATCCCCAGAGGATAAGCCTGGGAGTAGATACTTTACAAGCATGCTGGTGATTCATTTCATGTGGGCAACTTGAAAGTAATTGCTTGACATTTATTAGAACCAGCTGGAGTATATGATGAAGTGCACATTTCTAGGCACTACGACAGACAAAAGCACATTTCCTAAAGTGGGCCCCAGAATTGACAATTTTATCAATTTTCTCTAGAAAATTGTACACACGATAAAGTTTGAATACCATTGCTGCTTTATCAAACAGTATGTAGCTATATAGGGGCAAAGTTGGACTCTCTTTCTTTTTCCTTCCTTCCTTCCTTCCTTCCTTCCTTCCTTCCTTCCTTCCTTCCTTCCTTCCTTCCTTCCTTCCTTCCTTCCTTCCTCTCTTTCTCTCACTTTGTCAGTCAAAGTGGAGTGGCATGAACATGGCTCACTGCAGTCTCAACCTCTGGGGCTAAAGTGATCCTCTCACCCTGGAAGTAGTTGAGACTACAGGCACATTGCACACCCCACCATGCCAGGCTAATTTTTATATTTTTTTGTAGAGAAGGAGTTGCATCATGTTGCCCAGGCTGGCTTTGACTCCTGAGCTCAAGCAATCCTCTCAGTTCAGCCTCCCCAAAGTGCTAGTAATATAGGCATGAGCCACCACAATCAGCCTAGACTTGCTTTCTTCAATACTGAGAAATTTATTAGGAGGATATTGAATTAATGGAAGTAATGTTTATTAAAGTAATAAACTATTCATTTTTATAAGTAAGTTACATATTTATTCTCTTTAATATACAATCAACTTACATAGTGAGTTCTTCATAAACAGTAAAAGAAAAAATTTCAGTCATTTATCTTGCTTGTTATGTCATGCAAACTATTAAATAAATAATGTATATTGTCAAAACTATATACACATTTTATTATTTTTATTTTATTTTATTTTATTTATTTATTTATTTTTTGAGATGGAGTTTTGCTCTTGTCTCCCAGGCTGGAGTGCTATGGGGCAACGTCGGCTAACTGCAACCTCCACCTCCCAGGTTTAAGTGATTCTCCTGCCTCAGCCTCCCAAGTGGCTGGGATTACAGGCATGCACCACCACGTCCATCTAATTTTTGTATTATTAGTAGAGAAGGGATTTCACCATGTTGGCCAGGCTGATCCTGAACTTCTGACCTCAAGTGATCCACCTGCCTCGGCCTCCCAAAGTGCTGAGATTGATTACAGTCATGAGCCGTCGCGCCCAGCCATATTTTATTATATATTTTCAAAAGCCAAAGTTCCCACACAAAATATTCAGGTAGAAAAAAGTGTATTTCCTGAGCTTTACTATTTTATATGTATTCTAAATTGAGACACTCTATTTCTAGCTCATTAACAAGTTTTTCCAAAATAAGGGGTTTTAAAAATTAAGGGGTTTTAAAAGAATAAGTTAAATTTATACTTAATGTATTCTTAAATTTATATCCATATTATTATTGCCCTAATATTTCTTATGACATTTTACATTTTTCCTATATTTGAATTCTTTCTTCTTTCTACTTTTCTTCTTAATTTGTACGGTTTAGCACTTTTCTCTTTTAAATTTATTTCTGATTTTTTTTAGTTTGAATCATTATTTATTGTTATTTTTTTCTCTCTTCCTTTGTCATTGAAAAGCATGAAAACTTCTCTGAAGTTTGAAAACTAAAGAACATTTGCTTGTACTAAACAAGGAAGGCTTGAAAACTTCTTCAGATTTGCTTTTTTTTTTTTTTTTTTAGTAGTATTTGTCATTTTTACTACCTCATTAATCCAGACTACGTGTTAGGAGGCCATGACTAGACAACTCTATTTTTTTTTCAACAGTGAAAAGGTTGGTTAAGTTATTCATATAGCTAACTAGCCTCCCGTCTGTCTTTGCCTCTCTGAACTTGCTTTGGAGATCTATGACACAAGGCTATAAAACATCTGTGTTATAAAACATCCTGGTGAAATGCTAGATTCTATCTATATTGTTCTGATATCATCTTGTGGTATGGCCCATGAACTATGTTTATCATATTACCATTGGAAAAATGTTACTGATAAAAATTTAAAACTAAAAATAAATGAAACTAATCCAATTATTGCTACGTATTAGTATGTACGTTTATTATACTTTGAATACATCAAACCTTACTCATTTTCATGTATCTCATGTTATTAAATGCAAAAAAAAAAAAAAAAAACCAGTAACGAGATACATGAAAATGAGTAAGGTTTGGTGGAACTTCAGGTGCATAGACTAGAGGAAATCATAAGATACAGCATGGATGCAATAAAGTCAGAAATGATGCAAGTCTTAAGAAAATAATTTAGAAATCTACTTTGATATACTAGAGGAGGCTTTATACAAAAAGTTGGCATTTGGGTGGAGATATAAAGAGTGGGTGGGATTTGGGAAATGGGATTGGGAGCTGGGGAGGCTTTCTAGGTAAAGAGAATACAGAGAGAAATGGCGTGGGGAAATGTAGGAGGTGGGAGATAGTTAAGTTTAAGCAGAGTACATGGTGATTGAAGGAAATAGCAATGTGTGTTGGAGGCACCAAGGGTACCTAACTGATGGAGTGAGAATGATAGACTCAGTTGTCAGCAATAGTATTTATTAGGCTCATGCTACTTGCCAGACACTTAGCTAAACAATTTGCATCCCTTATCCAATGTAATTCTCATAATAATAGTATAAAATAAGTATTCAAAAGTACCCCATTTCACAGATACATAAATGCGGAAAAATGAATGACTTCAAGAACTTAGAGGAAGAAAGCTAAGTGGATGAAATTGGAGTGGTGAGGGGAATAGCAAATGGGAGAAATTTTTTTACAAATCAAGATAAGGAGACTCAGAAATTATGCATGGAATACAGCCAAAAAAAGTCAGAAAAGGGAACTCACTAAGGGAAATAATGCATAATGTTCTTATTTTATGGCTGTATTCCAAAGGTTTCACCAATATGTTCAACTAGTTCAATACACTTTTTATCTCAACTGTTTTTAATATTTAGTTTAATCTCTCTGAGAAATATATTTTAATATTTTGTAGAACTGAGTTAAGCTAGTGATTCTATTTTTGCCTTCATCTACTTAGTTAATAATATTTAATAAGGTTGAACATGATAACACCCAGTCTAATTGTGGTCTTGGATAACCATTGACTATATATTTTATCAACATTTTAGTTACTTAGTCATTTTTAAAAATCAAACTAATGTGCAGGAGACTCCTTTCACTGTAAAGGAATAAACAGTTAGGTTCACAAGTCTTTGAAGCAAATGCTTAGCCACCACGACTAGTGGAAAAAAAAATTGTTTAAACCTCTGACTCCTTAGTCTCCTTAACAGATGGATAGGAGTAATCAAAAATCAGTCTTATTAATATCTCTCTTTTGAAATTAGCTTCTCATTTTAATCAGAACAAAGTATGTCCTATTTAAAAATTCATTAAAAATAGAAAAAGCATTCTGAATCAATATGCAGACCAGTAAGCAAACTAATAAGAGTTCTGAATTATGCTACATATTTTGACACAGGAGTAATGGCGGTGAAAGCATTGGCAACAAATTTACGTAACTAATGATGTGTCGTTATTAGCAATGTGTTATTCTCCTGTCCACAAACCAGACTTTAATATAGTATAATTCCAAATCTAAAACCTAGGGAAATGTTTGTCACATTTAGAGAATTTCTGTTATGGAATTAGTAACAAAAAAGGGTATCTATTTTTACGTGTTCTTCCCTTTTTCATAATTAGATTTGCAAGCAATGTCCTATAAAATATACATTGCTCTTTAGTTTGTAAGGTAAAACCCAAACTTTCAATTTAATAATTATGCCTTTAAACATGATGAGAATGGTAGCCCAGTTAAATTAAAACAATACTAAATTGCAGTTCAAACAAAAGTTCTCCTCCTATTGCTTCCCAAGAAAACAGGACTTGTCTGCATTCAACAATTCTGAAACATTTTCATCACATAAAGGAAATACAATAATCCAAAGTTCAAGAAGTGTCTCACACAGAAACGAAAAATGATTTCAGTGCTGTGGAGTTGGACAATTGCCTCTCAGCAATGCACAATGTGCTTAGGACTTAGCTGGTTCATAATATGGTGACCTTCAATAAAAGTAATGACAATAATCATTACAATACCTGAAATATGAATACTACATAACAGTACCCATCAAAAACAAGAAAGCTCATATCATTTTGTTTTACTCATGCATACACATTTGCAAAAGAGGCATCCCAAAACTTCATATTCATTTTTCTAAAATCATGTTAATTTCTTATTTATTTCAGGCATTACTAGAGACTCAAAATTTACTGCGCACTCAGGTTGCAAATTTTACCTTCAACCTTGGATTTTCAGGGAAGTTTTACCACACAGGTAAGAAGGAGCTTTGTGTTCTCAGGCAGCTACATATAAATAGGAAATAAAATTTTGAATGATCCATAAGTGGTAGAAATAGATTCGCCAGATTGATTATGGGAAAAACTTGGGCACATTATTTGAGTAGCCAAATCCAAAATCAATGAGCATATTTACTTTGGCAAATACTGTTAAAATCAAGGGCAAAAGAGAAAGAGAATTGATGTTTTCAACTCATTTTTTTAAAAATAGAAAGCATAAGCACTGTACTGAGTATGACTGTGCATCTTGTTTCTCAGCACAGTATGGGTAGAAGGCATAGTAATAATGATAATTAAAATACTAATAATAATAATCGACAGAATTTTTAAATCATCAAATAGTTGATGTGATAGATACTTTTGTACATATTATTTTCCTTTGGAAAACATCTGATGATAGAGAGAAACTTTATGGTCTCAATGAAACGTAATAGACTCTAAGGGTCATCTTGTTAGTTTACCTTCCCTTGCAGGATTTTTTCCCTAAAACAATATTACCACTAATTTGGCCTAACATAGACTAAAACCATCACAATTAGACTTGTATTTCTTTCCATCTCTATCCAGCCACAACTGTACTTCTGTGCAGTCTCACCCTCTCAATAAATTCTCAAAATGTGATTGTTATTCATGTGCTACTGTGTTCTGATATTCCTTACTTATTTACCTACCCTCACCTCCAAAATGCTGACTTTTATTTTCTGAATAGTAGCATTGAAATAACTGGTACCATTTTAGAGAAAACTATGTTAATAAAATCGTTTGTCTTTGACAAAAAGAGTACTAAACTATGTGTTGGGGCCTGTATTAGGGGAATACCTGTAATCTGCTTCTATTTGTGCATCCATGCTGTGAACTAAATGCTTTGTTTAGAACTTTGCACTGTTGTTTCACAGCGTCTTTGAGGAAACATTTCACAGTATTTATTCTGTATGCATGTATGCAATTTATTGACTCATTAAAATATTCTATTCAAAGGTAGTCTTTAGTTTTCATAAACATCTTGTTTACTAAATGAGGCTTTTTAATGTAAAAGCTCAATATGGTTTGTTAGAATATTGAAATAACAATGTCTTATTGGCTTTTCCGTGATGCTTTTTTTTTCCTGCTTTGAAACATGTAAATCTGCTTAAAGTAATAGAAGGAAAATTAGTATGTATGCCAGTTGATAAATCAAATGATTGCATATCTTAAAAGGATATTTTACAGAAAGAGATTTGGGTCATCATATCTGCACAGGCAAAGCAATTTCAGCTTACAATTTTGAAAATAGACATGGTTTTGTAAATCTTTTTCAAAAGCTCCCTCAAGAAATGATTTGAGACCGAAGAAGCTCTGACTATCAAGTTATAAAGCAGATAGCTTTAAAGGCTATGTCTACTCATGCAAGAGGAAAAATTATGGGATTATTTGGAGTTCACACGCAATACTATTTTGTCTTAAATAGCTGTAGATTGTTAAGTAAAGTCATTCTTTTGGCTGAAATGTACCTGGATAACTGCCTCAGTTTTTATTTACTTTTCATACTCAGACCTATTAAATGTGCCAGACATTTGCAAAGTTAATGTTGACAGAGGTTATACCACTTCCCATTTCTTCTTTAAAACACTGAACATGCACAGAGTACACAACCACTGGGAAATGAGCAGCACACTAGTCAGTATCACAGGCGTAGTTATTGAAGAAAAACAGCAAAAAAGAAAGATGTATTTTAATTATATCTTTTAAGCAGACATTATTGACTCTTTGTGTTGGAACCAGTATAACAAAAATAATAGAATAGTTTGTGCTGTAATACTGTGGTGATAGTACACTTTAGAGAATAAGCAATATTTATAAATTTATAAATTTTAGAAGTTTAATTTATTTCACATAAATATGTCATTTTTATTTAATTGACATATTTACTTCATTTGTAGGATCATTGAAATGCCCCTATAATGTATTTCAAGCACCATCATAATTATATTGAATACTTATTAATGCATTTAGGGATATCAAAGTTTCTTCTGGAGCTGAGTTACAAAACAGTGATACCCTTTCAGATATCAGGAAGACGTGTCTCATTCCTATCTTGTCACATTTCTATATGGAAATTTCACATTATAGAAAAAACAATTGCAAATCAAGGAGGTGCATTTCTTATCTGTGCACTTGGCTGTGATGTGTAACCGTGAGGAGATGGCCTTGTCGGATTGATTGTCTCTGTTCTCTAATGATCTGATTTCCCAATGCATGAGGATGCTGATGGATGAGCCTCATTGTTTTGAAGACATTTAATCACATATGCCCAGTGTAATAATGATTGATTCTGCATTTCTTAGACTGCTTCACTTATTTGTATTTCTCATGTATTCTTTCCTGTTCAGTTTCTCTGTCCTTCACATGCTAAAAACAATCTCACCCCAAAGGGCGTACCACTAAGCTTTTCCTAAAGTCATTCACCCACAGGTGCCAAATTGAAAGAGGAAGGACATAGTGCGGATTAAATGGAAAAAAATAAATAAAAGCATGGAGTTGAGAATGAAATATCTTAGTCTGGAAATATTTAGAGCTTGAATAGAATTGCATAACAAAAGCTTAATTGAGAAATGGAGACATTATAGTATTCAGGTGGCTTCTTTGAAAAAGGAGTTACCCACTGTACTTTGCGAAGGACACGATTTTTGGTGACAATCATTGCTGTTCTTTGGAATTAAATATGACCTTATCAATAATTAATTCATGAGTAATGTTTGCAAACTGAATTAACATTGGTCTTTTCCATGAGATATTATTTTATGAAAAAATAGCATTTTCTATAAAATCATTAACTTTCAAGTATGACAGTAAGTAAAGTGTTAGATTCTTTCCCCTTTTGTGATTTTGTTTGTTTGTTTGTTTGTTTTGCTTTTCTGTATAGAGCATTAGTTGAAAGACCAGATACTGGTAATAAACTTTATGTTCAAATCCAGATTCTGACATTTTGCCAGCTATTTGAATACGGTTTACTTAAATTTTCTGTGCCTCAGTTTATATATCTACCCAATGGGGATAATAATATCTCTTTTATTAGGGGGAATGCCAAGCATGTTACAAGTGCTATGTAAATGTTTATTATTATTAATTTTAAAATTATTTTCATATAACATTCAAATATTATCAAAAAGTAAATAGTAGACAATTCATATGGCACTATTTTCTAATTTTGGAACTATAGGTAGCTTTTAATCAATGTTTATCATCCCACAGTTCTTTATATTTAATGTAATATTTAAAAGTGCTTTATTCTATGTCCACATATATGGAACCATACCAGGTTCAATGTACAAGGAAAATTAGAAAATATCTCACCATTTAGAAATTATAATATTTTATACAAATTACACAAATATAAGGTAGAAATTTTACAAAAGAGAAAATACATACACTAAAATTATATATATCTTATTTTAATGTAATAACTGTACTTTTAAGGAAATTAACCTATAGATCTTGCTAAATTATTCTTATTTTGGCAGACTTAAAGAAATTTTAGAAGCATACTTTTATCTCACAACACAGATTCTCCAAAAGTGATAGTAAAGAAACAAACTCTTCATGTATTTTATTTCTGAATTAAAACATTTTTTATTCATTGTTAATCAGGAAATATAAAAAAAATAAATTTAATAAGAACAAAATACATCTTTCCATTAATAATTGTCTAGACCAGGATCTAGATCAGATTAGAAGTGAAAGGTTTAATTTGAGCACAGATATTTTAATGGTCTCTAAGTTGTGCTAATCTGGTCACATATAAACTGTAAATGATAGTTCCACGTATAATTTAAGTATATATCAGGTACAGAAAAATAAATGTTTACAGGAAGTCCAAAATGTAATACTTTCATCTAGTTGGATTTAAAATCATTTGAGATTCTGCTGCTGTCCCTCAGTATGGCTTAGTATCATATTTTTTATTAAGCTGTTTTCAGTGTCAAAGGTTTGCCTCATGTGGCTTTGAATTATATGACCAGCATAAAACGAGAGAAAAGCTGACAAAAATTAATCCATGATGCAAACAAAAGGAAAGTTTTAAACGTTACTCTTAGACTTTTTGAGGGTGTTTATAAATTAACATAACCTCTAATATAAAAATTGCTAAGATTTTATGATCAGCCATGCATCTGTTTCTATCAATAGTCCACAAAATTTTCTTTAAATTGAATAATTGACCTCCTACCTGGTCAAGTGTGCATTATGTGCTTCCTGCCACGTGCAGTAATGATCAGCAGAGTTTAAAATGTATGGAAGCATTTTTCAAACATTCTATATTCAAAGCACAACAAGATAATTCCAGGAGGGTGGGAGAACTATCAATTCTTTCATCATATGTGATATAATGTAACTCTTTCTAATCTATGTCTCAGTTTGCTAAAATATAACCATGAGAAACATGAAACATCGTTAATATAAACACCTCATCTGAGGAAGTGATAAAATTTTACTCATTTGAATTTTAATATTTCATATTCTTTTTTTAGGGGGGAGCATAGAGCACAGTCTCTTCTCTCTCTTTTTTTTTTAAATTATACTTTAAATTCTGGGATACACGTGCAGAACATGTAGGTTTGTTACACAGGTATACACAAGTGATGTGGTGGTTTGCTGGACCCATCAACCCGTCATCTACATTAGATATTTCTCCTAATGCTATCCCTCCGCTTGCCCCTCACCCCCGACAGGCCCTGGTGTGTGATATTCCCCTCCCTGTGTCCATGTGTTCTCATTGTTCACCTCCCACTTGTGAGTGAGAACATGCGGTGTTTGGTTTTCTGTTCTTGTGATAGTTTGCTGAGAACGATGGTTTCCAGCTTCGTCCATGTCCCAGAAAAGGACATGAACTCATCCTTTTTTATGGCTGCATATTATTCCATGGTGTATATGTGCCACATTTTCTTTATCCTATCTATCATTGGTGGACATTTGGGTTGGTTCCCAGTCTTTGCTATTGTGAACAGTGATGCAATAAACATACGTTGAGCACAGTCTCTTAAGTGCCAGATGAGGTGTCTGTGGTTTTGTTTTCTTCTTCTTCTTCTTCTTTTTTTATCATACTTTATGTTCTAGGGTACATGTGCACAACACGCAGGTTTGTTACATATGTATACATGTGCCATGTTGGTGTGCTGCACCCATTAACTCATAATTTACATTAGGTATATCTCCTAATGCTATCCCTCTCCACTCCCCGGACCCCATAATAGGCCCCAGTGTGTGATGTTCCCCTTCCTGTGTCCAAGAGTTCTCATTGCTCAATTCCCACCTATGAGTGAGAATATGCAGTGTTTGGTTTTCTGTTCTTGCGATAGTTTGCTGAGAATGGTGGTTTCCAGCTGCATCCATGTCCCTACAAAGGACACGAACCCATCCTTTTTTTTATATTCTTAATATATTAACGAAAGTCAATGAATTATGAGTCTGTAATACTAACACTGTTAGCTAACAACAAAAATTAAGAATTCTTCTGCTCATCTTAATTATAGGACTTTATTACTTTCTAAATTTCTGATAGAAATAGAATTTCTTTACTCTGTGTAGTAGCATCGAAGGTGCCAAAACCCTAATTAAACCTGAAAGTCCTTATACCTTTTGAAGATTATGAATTACGAACTGTATTCCAGCAACAGTGAATATACATAAAAGAAATAAGTCGCCATATACTTTGGTGGTTATGTGAAGCTGCTAAATCCACTGCCTTTGTTAAATATAGACTAAATTAAATTATTCATTTATTCACTGCTTTGGGGAAGTGGCATGTTACAGTACAAGGTAAAGGGATTCAGTACCTGCCTTTAAGAAATTTATAATTTAGGCAGGCAAAGTTTCTAAAACAGTGTGAACACATGTAAATTCAAAACGCTGCAAGTATAAAGCAATAGATGGAATTTTTAAGGAGATCCTAATATTTGAAAAGTGCTTACTATTTGCAAGTCACAATATTAAGTGCTTTAATGAATTGATCTCATCAGCTCTTCACTAAGACCCTGTAACATAGGTATTTATAATCCCATTTTAAATCAGGGAACTAAGATCTGGAGAAGTTAACTTGTCCGAGATCACATAGTTAATTAAGTAGCAAAACTAGGGACTCTGCTCCAAGTACTGAATGACACCAAATACATGCTTTAATCCTTTCATGGTACTACTTTCATCACCATGGAAATCTTTGTTTTAGGACACACACACGGAACATTCAGAGAAAACCCTTATAACCATCTTTAATATTTATTCCCTGCATTTAAGTAAAAAAAAAAAAAAAAAAATCAAACCCCCATCTGTAAGACATACTCTTTTGCCTGTAATCCCAGCACTTTGGGAGGCCGAGACCGGCGGATCACGAGGTCAGGAGATCGAGACCATCCTGGCTAACACGGTGAAACCCCGTCTCCACAAAAAAATACAAAAATTAGCCGGGCGAGGTGGCGGGCGCCTTTAGTCCCAGCTACTCGGGAGGCTGAGGCAGGAGAATGGCGTGAACCCGGGAGGCGGAGCTTGCAGTGAGTGGAGATGGCGCCACTGCACTCCAGCCTGGGTGACAGAGCGAGACTCCGTCTCAAAAAAAAAAAAAAAAACAAAAACAAAAAAAAAAAAAAAAAACTCTTTTATGAAAGAGTAAAGCAAATAATACACTCCACAGTATAAGCCAGGACTTATTGTTTTACTTTACTTGTATAGTTAAGTAAGAGAGCAAGCAGGAATTAATTCTTATATTATTGATTCATTCACAACATTTGTAAATTGAGCTATATATAGTAAAATTGTACAAAATCATACGAAAACCCTATCATTTCATTTGTGGATATTCTTGGATAGCTGCAATATAATTAATTCTCTTAGAAGTAAGTTTTTTTTTTTCTTAACTGTGGCATAACAATGTTTTTTGGTTTTATTTCCTATGTATTGGGTGCTGTTAACAAATTTTCTCAAAAGAAGAAGAGAAAGTAATACTAGTTTTAAATTCTCAAGTCACGTTTATATTATAAACAGTTATCAAATCCATTGTTTAGTTTTTATGAAATATTTATATTAAAATGGGAAATTTGATATGTATAACATTAAGTGAAAAACATAAGCATGCAAAAATATTCATACAGCAAGAGCTGAACTTTTAAAATATAAGTAGAAAAAGATTTTTGAAAATAATACAGAAATGTTTTTACTGGTTAGCTGTAGAAGACGGTCTTACAGGTTTTTTGGTTGTTTTTGTGTTTCTTTTTGGACTTTACATACTACTTGTCTGTGCTTTCCACATTACTTTAATAAGCATATGATATTTATTTAATCTGAAAAAAATAACAGATTTTATGAGTTAAAATTTATTTTCAATTATTTGAAAATTACCCTTAAAATATAAGGGTGTAAAATACATGTAAGGGTATAAAATATATGTTAGGGTATAAAATACCCTTAAATTCTAAAACGAATAACTGTCTGACCTGCTCCAGCCACGCCTACCCACCCCATCCTAATCCCAAGTCCCCTTGCCTTTGATTCAATTTAGACTGTGGTCTTTTATTCTGATTTTAAAAGTCCACAGAATAGGATATATGTATTAGCAGCATGAAAAATAACATAAATCTGCCAAAAATAACCTTTAGGATAGTAAGATATTTTCACTAAAGCTGTTTTTAACTTGGTGTTTTATAGGGACTGAAGAGGAAGATGAAGGAGATGACCTTTTACTTCGGTCTGTGGATGAGTTCTGGTGGTTTCCTCACATGTGGAGCCACATGCAGCCCCACCTCTTCCACAATGAGTCATCTTTAGTAGAGCAGATGATTCTCAACAAGGAATTTGCACTGGTGAGCACATTTTATTGTGGTATCTTTTGAGCTATAAGTTGTGATCTTGTGGTGGAAGTGTAAAATCAGTGATAGAAAGAGAATAAAATACAATATCAGGGTGCATCACATGTATTGAGGGTACATATAACTTAGTGATATTTTGTTTCAGGAATGTGTGTATATGTATAGGGCCATCATGTGATTATGTAGAAAATATATTTCAAAAAGTAAGTTATTTTTAGGAGGCTTTCAACTCCTATTTTATGAGATGACTATTCTTGTATCTATGAAGACAAAAAAATAGTACAACTTTCATTTGTGGTGCAATATAATTAACCATTCAAAAATAATGTATTGCTCAACATCAGTAATCATTAGAGAAATACAAATCAAAACCACAATGAGATACCATCTCATTCCAGTCAGAATAACTGTTATTAAAAAGTCATAAACAACAGATGTTGGCAAGGTTACAGAGGAAAAGAGAACACTTATACCCTGCTGGTGGAAATGTAAATTAGTATAGCCATTGTGGAAAGCAGTGTGGCAATTTCTCAAAGAACGTAAAACAGAAGTACCATTTAATTGGTAATTAGCAATCCCATTATTAGGTATATGCCAAAGAAGTATAAATTCTTCCACCATAAAGATGCACACTCATGTTCATCACAGAGCTATTCACAATAGCAAAGTCATGGAATCAACCGAAATGCCTATCAACAGTAGATTGGATAAAGAAAATGTGGTCCAAATACACCATGGAACACTATGCAGCCATAGAAAGAATGTGATTATGTCCTTTGCAGCAACATGGACAGGGCTGGAGGCCATAATCCTAAGCAAACTGACACAGAAACAGAAAAGCAGACACTGCATGTTGGCACTTATGAGTATGAGCTAAACACTGAGTACACATGGACGCAAAGAAGGGAACACTAGACCCTGGAGCCTGCTTGAGTGCGGAGGGAGAGAATGGAAAAACTACCTATCTGATACTATGCTTATCGCTCGGGTGACAAAAGAATCTGTACACTGAAACTCCATGACACAATGTGTCTATTTCATAAACCTGCACACAGTCCTGAGCTATTTTTTAAATAATAGTTTAAAAAATCATTTGTTGCAAGAATGAAGGAAGAAATGAATGAGTTGAATGTTTGGAGCCATGACTCTAGACCAGTGGCTCTCATATTTTAGTGTGATCTGTTGCACCTAGAAGACTTCTAAAACATAGACTGCTTCGTCCTTTGAGTTTCTGATTCGGTAGATCTGCAGAGAGGGCTGACAATTTGCATTTCAGAAACTTCCCAGATGATCCCTGTGATTCTACACCAAGAATCACTTGCTCTAGACTAGGGGCAGGAAAATTATGACCTTTGCTTTTTATGATCCCTGAACTAAGAAAGCCTTTTAAAAAACGTTTCTTAATAATTCAAATCAAAGGTAAACAACAAAAGGAACAGTGATATTTTGTGGCACATAAAAATCATATAAAATTTACATTTAAATGTTCATAAATAAAATGTTGTTGGAACACAGCCACACTCCTTCCTTTATGAATTGCCTGCAGCTGCTTTCACATTTCAATGGCAGAGTTGAGTGGTTGCAAAAGATATCCTGTGGTCCACAAAGCCTAAAATATTTTTATCTCAACCTTTACCAAGAAAAAGTTTGCCTATCTCTGCTCTAGACATTAATTAAGCCATGTATTCCTTTAAGAATCTAACTAAAGACAGAAACATTTTCCCTAGAAAAATGCTCAGATGTATATTCTCACATCTTCACCCAGTGGGCATACAATCACAAAGGGTTTGTGAATCCACCAAAGACCCTAGTTCCTAGTTAGGAACTCCTAACTTAAAGTGTTATTATTCATTAGTACTGTGCGATTACTGATATCTTCATTTTTTAAAGTCATCTTTGGAAGCATAGCCCCCAAGTCAAATTAATACTATGATATTTTATAGTTATGTCCAGTTGTTAAGCTAATAGGTCATCACTCTTTGCATCTCTAAATCCCCAGACCAGTGTCAGATCTGCACACAGGATTCTTAGTAGTAAATGTAGAAAGCATAAAAAGCAGGTAAGATCAAGGACTCAGGCACCAGATTATCTGTTTGAATCCTCACCTTCCATTGATGGTTGCTTGACCTTGAACAAATTACTTAGATTCTCTATGTCTGTTTCTCCATTTATAAAACTGAGGATAATGGTAACAACTACCTCATGGAATTGCTGGGAGGATATACATAATGTGCTGAGAGCAGCCACTGGCACACAGTAAGCATTCAATAGTGTTAATTAACCAATTATGGCCTTTCTAAATATAGAGGAGCATGCAGTTACATCTTGCTTTTAAAACAGCTTTTTAAAAAAACATATGGATTACAAGGGGTCGTTTTTTACTTAAGTTTTAGGAAATGTCTCATAAATGTTGTGCTGCTTCATAGCATTATAAAATTAAGTAAATATTTTCCATTTCAAAAATAAACTTACCTTGAGTAAGTATGCTAAATTCTCTCAGGACAGTTACCTTGAAAATAAAACATGTGCATCACCTGTCTTAAACTTCCCCCACTTCATTCCACTCCACTTCCACTCTTGAGCCTTGCTCTTCAGGGATATAGGTTATATTTCATAATGGTTGATTCCACCTGTTTGTGTAATTTCTTTTTTAAAAGCCATGCTGAGAGCTCTGGGAAGACTCAAATGTAATTGCTTTGTAATGAAATGTTGGAAGGTATTTAGAGTCCATTCACAGTAATTACATTTGTTTAGCCAGCGTGGCCAGAAACTACACTTATTCCTATAAATATATTGTTTAAAAAATCTTACTATATTTTACATAGTCAAAATACTACAACTGAAATGAAGTCCGTTAAACATACATCATACTGAAATGACACTGTCCTTTTCCTTCTGGAGTTCAGCTCAATAAAACTCAAGACTCTTCAAGCAGTGACATTCAGAACCCCACCTTTACTGTCAACATAACATGACAATATGTGTGCTATCCAGAGAGCCAAGAGAGGTATCTCTTTCTTATTAAATTATTATCTTTTCACATCCAGCTGACACTTCAGAACCGTCAACAGTGTCAAGATAGGATAGAATAGCAAAAACACTAAATGGATATTGGTGGAGTGAGTTTTAGTCCTGACTGCTAATAACAAGTTCTGATAAAATTGGCAACTTATTTAATGTCTTTATACCTCACTTTCCTCTCTCGAAATAGTAATGACTTGCCTTTTCATTCTCTAAACTACAAAGTTTTTAGATAATTAATTTACATCAACTCATCTGCCAACCAAGGCACTGGACCAGATAATGCTACCGATCAATTTCAATTTTAAAATTCTGTGATCGTTTGTGGACAACGTTGGTTCGCAAATTTGGAATGAACATGGTGAAATCCTTATCTAGCTGGAATTGAAGTAATTATGGGAAAATATTTTCAAACTAAATGAATAACTTATACAGATAAAAATTAAAAGTCTTTAAATCCTTTTTTTAAGTTCTGTTCTGACATTCCTCATTATCCCTTGATATGACCTTGGCTGTCAGAAGGATTGTCAGTCTCAAAAGCACGTTTGTTCTCATAGCAGTTCCAAAAACAAATCAAACATATTCAGACCTAATAATAGCTTGATACTGATATTTCAAATTAGCTTTTTTAAGAAAACCAAACAATCTATCTGAGTGGTTTCATTTGTGGAATTTCTCTGAAATCTTTCTGGATGGAGTTTATTTTCTCTTGTAGTATGTTTAAACATCATGAGAGAAACACATTGCAAACCTGGTTCTTTACCTTTCATCATGTTTGAAGAGACCTTATTAATATAAAACATTGTTATTGTTATTGCTTAATCCACACACACACATACACACACATATGCCTTGTGTATATGTATATGCTTGTTGGAGTTATGTGTATGTATATGCTTAATCCATGAGCACAAATGTATGCAGTGGGGGTGTATATGTGTATGGATGTATTATGCTTACTCCATGCACATATATGTCATGTGTATATGTGTGTGTGTTTGTATACAGGATGTTAGTCTAATGACAAGCATAGGCAACTGAAATATGGCAGTTACAAGATACCCTTCTTGGTATGGCAGTAGGGTGGAGAAAAATACTTTTTGGTTCTTTTTCCTTCAGTAACTCACTGCTGTTCAGTTGCTTGACTATGTCAATAAATAGATGGAAAGCTTCATTAATGACAATAGACAAACGAAGGCTGAAGAGAACTAGAAACATTGGCCAACATGAAAGCACTAATAAAAAAAATTACCAAAAATTATTCCCGATTTAACCTATGCTATTTTCCAATCACAGAAAGAAAAGTGCATATACCATAAACCTGAATTGTTTATTTTATTCCACAATATACTTGAAAAAAATTTTAAAAATTGTATTTCGTTGTTTTAAGTTTTACATATAAACTCATTAAAGTTTTCAAGCCAGTAGAGCTTTTCAGTCGTTAATAGTTGCAGACCATGAAATATCCTGAAGGGATAAGTATCAACTTTTTGCCTTTACTGTTGACATTTTCAATGATGATGTGAATTTTACTTGCTATGTTCTTGAGCAGTCTGGTGTCCTTTTCGTGACTACGTGAAGATTCTTGAAATAAAGACATAGGATTTTAAATTCTGATTTTAAAATGCTACACATATTTATGAAATCTATATAACTTTTTTCATAATTACACAATATTCATGAGGTAAAAAATGCTGACATTTAAATTGTTCTCATAAAAACACAAATCTATTAAAGAGAGACTATGGAAAATCCTTAAGTGTCATAATAGACTGAACACTCAATCAGCTGTGTAGGTGTTATATTAAAAAGAAATAAAAGTAATATGATAGCAAATTAATAGTATAATGAAACTGAGAGAGAGCTTCCTTTCAATGTTGGCAGTGCTTTACAGTATTTTTACTGGATTATCCAGTTTACAGCCTTGTATTATGCCACAAATGCAAGATGTCAGAAAAAAACTGATTATAACT